ATTATCATTGCAAACTCAAAATAGTTGTATTGACTGATTTGAAGCAATGAATTATGTGATAATGCTTTGCTTATGTCACTGACTTTGTTTTTTAAAAAGTTAAAAAAACCGAAATACTTGTGTGGACTTTGTTACTTAAACAATTTAAGTATGGTTTAGTTAGGAGGGGATGGGATACTAACCAATCAATGGGATTTAGTGAGGGTAATTAATAATATAAGTGCAGAATAAGAGACTACAGCTTTAAGATTGACATGGAATCATTTAGAAAGCAATTTAAATTTCAAATAGGTAATTGTCACATTATTGGATTCTAAGGGGAGCAGCCAGATCACTTCTGTGCCCACAGGAGAGGAGGGAGGTGTTTGCCCCAAAGTCTGTACAAAGGGGGGCATGTGAGGTGTCAAATGAAAGCTTATGTTCTACTGATTCTATGTATGCTATTCATGTACTTGTGTGATATCTGTATGTGGAGTTATGAATATGGACTATGTGCTTATACTGGGAATGGTCTCTGTGTGAGACAGAGCAATGGGCTCTGGACTGCCTGTTGTAAGGAGCAATTGTTCAGTCAATGACTATGTTTATTGGCGAGGCTCCAGGAACAGTGGCTCTCAAGGTGCCCAATACACACCTGAGGGATGCTCTGGAGACCTGCAAACCAGCCAATATCATGGCTGCTGACATGGGACACAGGGATAGGTCACTTGGCCATGTGACCCACTCTGGCTTGGGAGATCAGGGACAGATATAAAAATGCCATGTGGCGATCTCCATCTTGTCTTCAATTCTGCTACTAATCCCACATGCAGCCTTGCGAGGGACAGAGAGCCGGGAAGGATTGTTGGCCCATCCTGAACATAGGATGTACACCAGAGACTTTTAAGCTAGCAGTTTATAATATCTCTGAGAGCCTGCATCAAGAACTTGATGATTGGTGCATGTAATATATTCTCCTTAATAACATTACTCTCAACCTTTTCTTTCTTTTATTAATAAACCTTTAGACTTTAGATTCTAAAGGATTAGCCCAGAGTGATCTTGTGGGTAAGATCCAAAATGTAAACTGACCAGGAATCTGTGGCTGGTTCTTTGGGACTGAGAGGACCTGTTCAGGGTAGGTAAGATTGGGTTCTATAACCACTCACCTGTGTGTTAGGCCCGGGGCTGATTGTGGCACAGAGAGAAGTGGGATGTCTGAGGGGTTTTGCTTGTGAGGCTTCCTGCTGGCTGGATTGGCAGCTGAAGTGCTCTGTGTGACTGGTTTGTGGCATGTCTGGAAAAGGTCTCCAGTCTGGGGCTGTAAGAAGCCCTGGTTTTGAGCAGTTGGCCCTGAGTGGGTGCCCTCAGCTGTGCCCAGACCCGGCCTGGTCCGTCACAGTAATAACTCATGAATTAACCTTCTTCTCTGTGTGGTATTGCTCCAGAGACATGCATTTCTGAGACCCAAGGCAGTAGGCATTCTCAGATCTCCTAGGCTAGAATCAGAACAGCTCTTTTTCAAACTATTAGTAAAATGTAGATGCCAGGACAGACAGTGGAGATCTTGAGACCAAGGATTTAACTCAGTCTGCCTACTTGTTCCTACAACTAACTGATGAGGAGGCAGGACCTCTTTTAGTAACTTCAAAATAGTTTTTATGAAGGTTGAAAGGATTTCCATCTTGAGTTCAAATATTCCCTTATGCAGGAAAAATGTAGGGCGGGGGAGGTGTGGAGATGACAATCAACTGAGTTTCCATTAAAATGAGGTGTATCAAACTGTCAGGCATTGTGTGGGGACTGCACTGGCTTGGCCCACTTGCTGACTTCCTGCTTATTGCATCTTTGATTACAGTAGAAAATCCATTAGCAGTAGTTTAGAGAACCTGTAACCCACTTAGTCAATTTTATTCTAATTTTCTATTTGGGTTCTGGTTCCAATAGGGAAAAATGAACTCTTTCTAATTTTTCAGATTTTTAAGATAAAGATTAACCTAATTTTCTATTTGGGTTCTGGTTCCAGTAGGGAAAAATGAAGTCTTTCTAATTTTTCAGATTTTTAAAATAAAGATTAATAGTTGGCCTATTGAGATTACATTGCAATTAAATTTACATCATGGCATTTGTCTTTTATTGTATTTGGAAATGAAGGCAATCCATGGCATTTGTCTTTTATTGTATTTGCCTTCATTTGAAAACATTTCCAATCACAACTGTCCATTTTGGGTTTCAGTAATGTTATCTTCCTATTTAAACAATGGGGACAGTTCAGGAAACTAGGTGTTGTTAGAGAAAGAAGGGGATTGTTGTCTGTCTTTCTTTCTGTCTTCATTGTATTATTATATGTAAGCCAGCATTTGAGGTGTTGTACCTCAAGAAGTTTGTATGTTTTGTCTAAGAAATAAATGTAACAGCAGAGAAGGGATTAGCTCCAGGCTCGTTAATTGTTGAGAGAACTGGATATTATTATTTAAATTCAGATGGCTATGATTAATCTGGATACATTTGAATAGGACTAATTGATGAAAATAGGTGGTTTTTTTGTTTGTTTGTGACATTTGACTTAGCCTCATAAATTATGACTCTCAACCATTTCATAACCCTGAAATAACAGCCCTGAAGTGTGGTTGATTGTGTAATATCTTAAAATGCTGAGGAAAAGAGCCTAATAGTGATCTGAATTCAGACAAATTGCAAATGGTGGTTGAAAAGACCAGCTCCAGGTGTGGGCCTGAGAACACCAATGGAGTATCCAAAAACACTTATAATTAAAGAAATCTGCCTGTTTATATCTAAAAAGTCTTGATAAAAGAGAGCATATAGATGTCATTATAGAACTTTCCTGGTTGTATATCCAGTAATGTTTGCTTGTATTAACATCATAGGTACATAGACTGAATGGATAAAAGTCTGAGGGATAGCCATGTTAGTCTGTAACTTTTTAAAAACAAATAGTCCCGTAGCACCTTAGAAACTAACGCAATTTTATATATAGTTAATATCATGAGCTTTCATGGGAAAAACCTACTTCCTCATCGGAAGAAGTGGGTTTTGCTTATGAAAGCTCATGATTGTGTGTGTGTGTGTGTGTGTGTGTGTGTGTGAATTAAAGCTCTAGTTTGAACTACCTGTTATTCCTCCTAACAGGTAGTTCAAACTAGGGCTTTCATTCGAATTACCGGGTCCCTGCCACGAGTAGACGCGGGCAGTTAGTCCGGACTTGTAAATTAAAAAAAAAAAAAAAAAGTGACTGCCGGCCGGGAAGATACAAATCAAGTGCGGGATATTTAAATCCCAGGCTTGATTTGCAACTTCGAATGCCTACATTAGCCTCCCTAGTTCGAACTAGGGGGCTAGTGTCGACGTACCCTAAGGTGTTACAGGACTTCTTGTTGAATGGATAAAATTATGTTTTTAGCCAAGTTATATTTTCGAGAAATCTAAAACGTAGCCTATCAACACAGGTCTCTCCCCCCATACCCTCCCAAATCCCTATTATTCTTGACTTTTTGAAATGCGTATATGACAGGGAAGCCACACCAGGTCATCTTTATCTGTTAAGTTTAGGAACCTGACATGTGTGTTTTGTTATTCAGAGGCATGATGGAAAGCTCTGAAGCATGACAAAAATCAAAATCCTAGAAGTCAAACAGAAATAATAGTTTAAGGGGGAAAAAAAAACCTTGAAAATCCGGTTTTTTCTCCTCCTTTGGGGCAGTGTAGTGTGTGTGTGTGTGTGTGTGTGTGTGTGTGTGTGTGTGTGTGTGTGTGTGTGTGTGTGTGTGTGTGTGTGTGTGTGTATATATATATATATATATAATCCTGTCTGAAATTGTGCCACAAAATATATGTGGCAGCTAAAGATGTGTCAAAGGAATCTCACAAAACTGGGTGATTGGGGTAATAAAATGGCAGATTAAATTAAGTTTTTGATAAATGCAAAGTAATGCATATTGGAAAAAATCTCAGTTCTACATACAAAATTATGGGTTCTAAATTAGCAGACACCACTCAGATTTTGGAGTTGTTTCTGGATAGTAATCTGAAAAATATACGGTCAGTGTACACAGCAGTCAAAAAAGCTGCTAATGTTAGGAACCATTAGGAAAGGAATAGATAATAAGACAGTAAATATGATAATGCCACTACATAAATCCATGGAACATTCACATAAATACTGTGTGCAGTCCTTGTCATCCTATCTAAAAAAAGATATATTAGGAATGGAAAAAGTATAGAGAAGAACAATAAAAATGATTGATAGTGTGTAACAGCTTCCATATGAGGAACGATTAATAAGACTAACTTTTTTTGGGGGGGAGGAAGGGGGGCAATGAGAAGGCTAAGAGGCAATATGATAGAGGTCTATAAAATCATTACTAGCATGGTGAAAGTGAATAAGAAAGTGAAGTCTACCCCTTTGTATAACACAAGAGTTGGGGTGGTAGTGGACCCCAATTAAATTAGTAGGTAGAAAGTTAAAAACAAACTTCTTCGCACAGTGCACAATCAAACTGTGGAACTTGTTGCCTGGGAATGTTGTGAAAGTCAAAAGTATAAAGGGGTTCAGAAAAGAATTAGAAAAGTTCATCAAGAAGAGGTCCATTAATAACTGTTAGCCAAGATTCTCTCCGAAGCATCTGGCAGTGGACATTGTCTGAAGGCAGGGTACTGGGCTAGGTGGACCATTGATCTGACCTAGTATGGCCATTCTTATGTTGCATATTTACTGTCATGTGTAAAGTTACTGCTCTGAATCATGGATTTTATTTGATTTAATGAAATCATTTTTTTTCTTCCTTCCCCTTTTCTCTGCAACCTTGCCCAGTCTTGGGACTTGTTTTTCCGAAATGCTAATGCTGGGGCTCCTCCTGGTCAAGCATACCAGACACCCTTACCAGACCTTTCAAAAAGCAGAGCGTTGTTGTTTCAGAGCCATGGATTGGCAAAGACACCGGGTCAAGCTGAAAAATTGCTTGAGGACCATCTTGCTGTGCAGTCTTTGATCAGAGCATATCAAGTAAGTGTACAATTGCTACTTAACATTATATTGGAGGGGGAGAGTTTCCTTTTAAAAGCACTTTGCAAATATTGTTTTCTTGTGCTTCCTGTATCTATTTCTATCTGTTTTATGTCTAGATCTGGTACAGGCACTGCCTCTTTATACTGTATAGAATGCATAACTCAGTGATGTTCAGGTGTATAATGGGATCCCTAAGTGGCACTAGTATGTATTGATTCATTGGTGCTCATAACACTTGAACACGGTTATCTTTATCACAGTTGTCCAGACTGGGGACACAGAGGTTAAGTGACAGTATTGCAAAGGGTGTCAGTACTAGAGCAGAAATAGTTGAATTGATCTTGGTTCTTTTATTTTACCCATCATCATTGTGGAACTAAAGCAGCTTAGGGCTTTGCCTCTTCACCAAAACAAGTGATCCTCAGCTCTGCCTATCCATCTGACTCCATTCACACGGAGAATTGAGGCAGAATAATTCAACTGTTTCACTTGAGCATATTTTTCCTGGGTAATAAGTGATAATACATTCTATTGCAAAATCAGGTGCATATTGTGCAGTGAAACGAAACTCTTCCTTGTCCTGCACAATCTGCTTTTCTTTATCTGCATCTGTTTTCAGACAAGGAAAAGCCAATATGATTTATGTCAATTTTACTTTCTGGAAGGTCTGAATTCTCTTTTCCCTGGGAAAAATGTGAATCCTGATCACTGTGAATATGACAGTTGGGGAAAATAGTTTTGTAAATTTATTCATGAGACTTGCTGTATCTTGGACATTCCCATCAGTTGCTTTCTCTTTACACCTCCCCTTACCTCCATCTCTCCTTACTGGTAAGTTAGTCATTTTGCCAAATTGAGGTAGGTCAACACCACATGATTTATTCTTGATGTGCTTCTATTACTACTCAGTTTCTGGAGTAAATTGTGCAGTGAGCTATCATTGGAAACTGCTTCTGATTTGAGTTTTGGCTTCACTGACACAGCAGAGAATAGGAGCCAATTCTAAGCACAGGTGAACTTTGGTATAATCTCAAGAAATCAGTTGGGTTCTTGACTTGAAAAAATATGAACACAATAATAAATAAATGCACAAAAACTGCTTACAAACAGAGGAAAACAGGATTTCAAGCTATGTTGGGTGAAGTGGTTGAAGCAGCCTGTCCTACTGGTCTTTTACTACAGAAATTCTATCTACTATACAATTAGCTATTTACTCGCTTCCTAGCATTCCGAGTTTGTGGAATGGAATGTTTTCTAATGAAATGGTCTGCAGATCAGAACCACTGGGGGAACCCCCTGATTTTTTTGAAAGCATACAGTCAGTGAAGCTTAAATTGGAATTGTTGAAATTTTCCTTAATAGGGTGAGGAGGAAACCAATATTTGACCACAACCTCTGAAAAGAAATGCCTTCTGTTCCATTCACCCTTACAATGGTATGTAAATGGTTAACAGATTTCACAACACATTGAACAGTAAGGCGCATAAATTTACACAGCACTTTCACCGCTTTTTCCTGTATCAATAATTTTAGCTGCTTTTTAATATTATACTTGCAACCCAGGAACACTATCAGACTTGTGACTTACATGCATCCCTAAAAATGACATGTTTTGAAACTGTTTTGCCAAGAGTGGACTGGTCCTGCCTTGGGCAGGGGGCTGGACTTGATGACCTCCTGAGGTCTCCTCCAGCTCTATGATTCTATGAAATACTATTCAAATGATAAATCTAAGTGTGTTGCAAAACTACTATACGTTTTTTGACATTTGCTGTCTCAGAATATAATAATTAAACATTTTTTAGCCAGATGTTTTTTTTGTAAGACATTTACTGTTTTACCTGATGTGATTTGTTACATGTTGTCTTGGATTAGTTATCTATTACAGAGATTAATTAACAGATGATAATTGAAAATGCTAATATCCACAGAGAATAGTTGTTTACTTTTGCTTTTATTACTTCCCTGTTTCCTGAGGTTGTGTAGTGGGTCAGGATAAAACCTGCAAATGGCAGAAAACAGAAATAACACCCGATGGAGATATATTTAGAGGCTCAGTCTTGCAACTTCTGTCCACAGGACATAGTGCTTAGGGTGCCAGGTATCCAATATTGAACTGGACAGTCTGGTATTTTCACCTCCTGTCTGGTAAAAAAATATTCAGAAAATACCAGACACCTAAAATGTCCAGTATCTTCTGATTTTTTTTCTCGGCCAGGAGGCGAAAATCCCGGGTGTTTACTGGGTTCCGCATGGGTGTTGTCCAGCTTGGCACACGGAGGCAAGATGGTGGATGGCCACCAGCAGCCTTTTAGGGCCAAAAAGCCTCAAAAGCATTTCTTAAAGGGGCCATGCTTTTTTGTGTTCGCTCAACAACTGTGCTCTCCCCTCCCTCCCCCCTTTTTTTCCCTCAACAGAATTTTTCCCCAGTAGGGATTTTTTTTGAGTGGGGGGTGTTTGGTATTTTTGGTTAAACCATCTGGCAACCCTAATAATGCTTACTACTATGAGTTCGGATGTTATTACTGACAGTAAAATAAGCATTAGGTTTGCTCAGAAGTGTTTGCTGGATTGTAACCTGAAGAAGAAAACCAGGGTCTTAATCAGTTAATTTTGTTACTTCACAGAGATCAAGGTATTAGAATATTATCCTATCATATGAGAGACCAGCATGACTAGAAGTATCATCCTAGCACAGTGGAGGGTGGACAGAGCAATCCTTACTCATAAGCAGAATAGATAGTCATGTAGGCCACCTGAAAACTTGGGGCATACTGGATCTTAATGTCCACCCATCTGCTTCTTCTTAGCCCTTTTCAGTGGCTCTGCTTCTTCCTGAGAGGATCTAATTAACTTAAGTGAAAAAGCCTGCCATTGTATCACAGTAGGGCTGTTAGGAAGCAAGTAAATAGCTAAGTGTGTAGTCGATAGAATTTCTATTGACTACACAATTAGTCGATAAGAGAGTTACTTAAAGCACTCAGTCCCAGCTCACACCGGGTCCTAGGCCTACCCTGCTGCAGCCCTGCAATTAAAACGTAAGTTAAAACGTAGTAGAAGCCACGCTGTCAGCCTGCCCAGCTTTTACTATGATTTAAATGCAGAGTTGCAACAGGGGACGGTCCCCCCCTCCCCCGGGCCCCGCCAGCCACTGTCTGTGGGGGCTCTCGCTGTTTGCTGCCAGCCCTGCCCACTGCGAACAGAGGCTGCTCTGGCAGCAGCCCAGGAACAGGGGACAAGTGCTTTCAGGGGATTTTCTCTATGGCTGCATCTCATACGCCACTCCTCCACTGCCTCCCCCCTTGTGGGACACAAAATGGACACACTGTGCTCTGGTTGCCTTTGTGGATGCTGCAGCACTCACACCATAGAGCCAGAGCTGCTGCAATGAAGTTCCATGCTCATGGACCTTGTGCTGCGCTTCATGGTGCAGTACTTCCAAACTACCCACATATTGCTCCAGCAGGACAAGGACCAGCCTAGACCACAGGTCCTGCTCATCCAGGTCCTGGTACTTCTGCTGCTGCACATGTCCCTCAATCCCCTGGACACAGCGGAATGCCACTGCTGATGGCAGGAAATCGGTTCAGACTGGTGGACTGCATCATCTTGCAGCTATGGGATGACCAGAAGTGGTTGCAGAATTTCTGTATGTGTAAGGCCACCTTCCTCTGTGAGTGGCTTGCCTGTGCCCTCAGGTGACAGGACACCCAA